GGGATGTGGCTCAAGCGGTAGCGCGCTCGCCTGGCATGCGTGCGGCCCGGGTTCGATTCTCAGCACCACATACCAACAAAGATGTTGTGTCTGCCAACTAAAAAATAAATATTAAAAAAAATTCTCTCTCTCTCTCTCTCTATTTTTAAAAAAAAAAAAAAAAAAGAGCTATCATAGCAAAAGGCTATATAAGGTCTAATATTAAGAGAACACTAAGGGCTAAGCATGTGGCTGGGTGCTTATCTAGCATGCTGAAGGTCCTGGGTTCAATCCTTAGTACTGAAAAAAAAAACAAACAAAAACAAAAACAAAAACAAAAACCCACAGGACATGTTTGAATCCTGGCTCACTTACTTACCTTGTTCAGGAAAATCTATGTATCTTTTTTGAATCTTCTTTCTTTAAACTGTAAAATAAAAATTATAACACTTGAAGCCTTCATTTGGCATATAATGCAATCTGGATCCAACTAAGGTCCACCCAAGTTCTAGATTTGCCCATTGCTTCTCCCCCTTCCCACAAAGCACTCCACCACTTAGTCATATTCCAGGCTCAAGCCTGCACTTTATTTTTTAAATAGCCACTGAGCCACATCCCCAGCTCTTTTTAACTTAAAAAATTTTTTTGTTTTGATATCAGGGATTGAACCCAAGGATGCTTAACCACTGAACCATATCCCCAGCCCTTTTTACTTTTTTTTTTTTTTTGAGGCAGGGTCTCGATAGGTTGCTTACAGCTTCACTAAATTACTGAGGCTGCCTGAAACACGCCTGCCTCAGCTGCTATTAGAGGCATGGGCCACACCATGCCTGCCTTTTATGTTTGTTTTGAGACAGGGTCTCAATTGCTTAGGACTTCACCAAATTGCTGAAGCCAGCTTTGAACTTTCAATCCTCCTGCCTCTGCCTCTCAGGATCACAGGTGTGAGCCACCATGCTGGGTTCAAGCCTTCACTTGTAAAACTGATTAAATCTGCCAGGCCGGTGGCAAATGCCCATAATGCCCAGCATTTTGGAGGCTAGGGGAAGAGGACTGCAAATTTGAGGACAGCCACAATAATTTAGCAAGATCTTATCTGAAAATAAAAGGGACTGGGAGGAGAGGGCAAATAAAACTTAGTAGTAAAGCATCTAAAGCATCCCAGAGTTTAGTCTTTTTTTTTCCCTCCATGAGTGATTTTTATTTTTAATTTTTATTTTCATTACCAGAGATTTATCCCAGGGCCACTTAACCACTGAGCCACAACACCAATCCTTTTTATTTTTATTTTTTTATTTTGAGACAGGCTCTTGCCAAGTCCTTAGGGCGAGTTTAGTCTTCAGTACCCTAATAAACCCATTAAATCTTTCCTGCTGATAACTCCCCTAATCAGGACAAAGTTTCCTTCCCTTAGCCTATCATTCAGAAACCTTCATATTTCATTATCTTCATTTCAGTGTTTCAATCCCCACTACCAAAATAGAATCTTGCTCATTGTCACATAGGGAACACGTGGAAAACGTATAAAATCAGAATACAATACTTTAAAGAAAGTATGTACAGAAAAGGAACTCTGGCATAGTGCAAAGGATATAAAACACACTCACTCCCAGGATTATTGTGTCACCCTTTCCTAGAACACACACACAAATCAGCCTTTCCTCCTTTTTAATGTCATGAAGTGAACAGAAACGGAACCGGTCTGTAGGCACTATCACCATTCTAATTCCTGGATACATAATGGTGCCTTCCAATCAATTCCTAACTATGTAGCAGAATCAATCTTTTCTTTCTCTACTGGGGATTGAACCACTGTGCCACATCCCCAGTCCTTTTTATTTTGAGATAAGGTCTCACTAAATTGCAGGCAGCCTCAAACTTTCCATACTCCTGCTTCAGCCTCCCCGAGTGGCTGCGATTCCAGGCCTTGGTCACCACACAACAGCTTGATCTTTGCTACGTCCCAAATCCTTCTTTTTATTTTGAGACAGATCTCACCAAATTGCCCAGGTTGGCTTCAAATCTGCCACCCTCCTGCCTCAGCCTCCAGAGGTGCAGAGATGACCAGAGTGCACTACCGTATCTGGCTACTTTTGCTGTTCATTATCTAGCGGGTCCAAATCCCCACTTGACTATGAAGTTCTTGGTGGCTTAAGTGTTCGATAAATAAATAAAATCTGTGGCGGATTCCCAGTTCTGTTTAAACCACAACTGATCCTAAGCCTGCTCCTGTATAAATGTGGAAAGGTCATTCCTACCCGTAAGGCGCCTGCGAGGGCTGAAGGATGACTAGAGAGGTGCAGGTGATGGAGGGTGGTGGGTTCTCAAACGGCGGCTACCACCCCACCCCCTTACCTCCACGGCCCCAACCCCAAAGGCGTACAGTAATTCTTTGAAGGTGATCACTTCCCTAATTCTCATTCAGTTCAAAAGTCTTCTTGAAAGTTGAATTACCAAGGCCCCCTACCCTCGCCGTTAGCCCACTGACCTGGAACCCGGCTGTCTGTCTGGGCTGATTTTCCACCAGACCCTGCGGACTGGCTCGTGGTTGCGGCCCACGAAGCCACTGCTCAGACAGGCTTCACCTCAGGGACTGCCTGGCTTCCTTCGGCCAACCCCTCGATTTACCTGGAGCGAACGGCTCCGCGGCTCCGCAGCTCTGGAGAGACCCGTGGTAATCCGGCAGCGCGCAGGGGCGTGTGATGGGAACCCCGAGGACCCCAGAGCAGGGCTCGATGTTAAACCCGCGCGGTGATTGGCTGTTCCTTACAAAGTGGGCGGGGAAGGGGCCTGCGCATGCTCAATGATCCTCTGTGGCGGGGAGAGCGTGAGGAGCTCCTGGGCAGAGCCGGGTGGCTCCGTGAGGATCTCCCGGTTGCCCTCAGGTGATGGTTTCATTCCTGGCACACCCTTTTCAGATTCGTACTGTGGTATCTCTGTGTGTAACCTGAGGCCCAAAGGAAGGCCGCAGGCTGGTTTTGAAAGCTTCGCCCGGCCTTCTCTCAGACTAATCTCAGAGGGTAAGGGAGTGGAGTTGAGCAGAGAAGCTGCTTCAGTAGCCTGGAGCAAGGTCACCTGGATGCGGGGGTGTCCCCAGAAAACCCTGGAGGAACCAGTCCCTTTTTGGATTAGTTTGCATCTCAATGGGTGGGTGTGTCTGTCCCCTGACTACTGGATCAGCCCCCTCCCACCAATTCCAGTTCACTCTGGTCTCTCCTAAGGGGGTCACGTTTTTTAAGCGAATGGGAGGAAAGACTGTAAATTGGTTGCACCTTTCAAGGGTAATAGCCCTCCAAGCTGAAGGAAGAACAGATGAGAAGCTTGTTGAACTTCAAGGAGAGGGAAGTGCGAAGGGGCAGGGCGTACAAAATGGCTTTGGGTGGGGGGTGAGGTAGGCCAGAGTCAGTGCAAGGCCTTTGAGACAAAGTGGAGGATTTCTTTTTTGTGTGTGTGGGGGGAGGCGGTACTGGAGATTGAACCCTGGAGCCATTTATCACTGAGCTGCATCTTTTATTATGTTTTATTTTGAGATGAGGTCTCTGGAGGGAGTTGCCCAGGCTGGCTTTGAACTTGTGACCTTCCCGCCTCAGCCTCGGGTATCTGGAATGGCAAGCATCTGCCGTTACACCCAGCTTAGTGAAATATTTTAAACATGGTGTCACACGTCTTTGAAAGGATGACTAGCTATAGTTGAAAGGAAACGGGTTTTTTGTTACCTTTAAGAGATCCTAGAAGGAGCGGGGCATGAGCAGTTACAAGTGTGAACTAGAAAGTCAAAAGATATTAAGTCCTGGTTGCTAGACCTTTTGAAATACTAGTGGTAGCAGTTCATCTCTGTTCTTTCTCTGTGGGATGAGAGAATTGTTTCAACTTAAATATCATAATATGGAAAATAAGTTCCTGTCACAGTAAATGGCATAAAATTTACTTAACATAGGAACCCCATCAGTATGGCCCTGAATCTTGAAAGGCTGACCATGCTTTGTAGGGTCCCTCGTAATTATACGGGGTGGGGCCAGACTAGCTGATAGATGCTAATTAACTTATAGAGTTGATTATTATTGACTTGAGTCTTCTTCTGGACCAATTGTTTTTAGAATTGGCATGAGGAGTTCAGAAGCCATCTGGCATTCATCCTTACTCTTCCACAAACTGTTCTCAGTTTATTAGAGTGTAAACTAGTTTATCAGCCAAGGAATATGTTTCATACCTGTTACTCCTGAGATGCTTTGTAATCTTTGTCTCTGGTAATTCCATATGGTTTTTAGCAAGGACACACAACAGTCTTATTATTTGTGTTGTGAAATGTATTTGTATATATATGAGTCCACATTCTCAATGTCTGCAATTCTGTGAAGATAAGGAATGGTGGATAAGACTAGGATCTAGAACCAGACTTCCAGGAGTTCAAATCTAGGCTCTTTTACCTCGTTGGACCTTCTACACATTATCTTTTTGTGCTTGTTTTATTATCTAGAAATAAAATGAAGAGTGGAGCAATAATAATAGTACAGCAGGCCTGGGGATGTGGCTCAAGCGGTAGCCCGCTCGCCTGGCATGTGTGGGGCCCGAGTTCGATCCTCAGCACCACATACAAAGAAAGATGTTGTGTCTGCTGAAAAGTAAAAACTAAATATTAAAAAATTCTCTCTCTCTCTCTCTTAAAAAAAAATAATAGTACAGCATATCTCTTGAAATTGTTGAGTATTGAATGAGTTTTCATAAGTTAAAGCATTTTGAACAGTGTCAGACATGATAAATGATATATAAATATACACACATGTATATATATTATACATATAAGAAATGTTTTGTTCATATGTATTACACATTATCTATAAATTCATCTAAAAATGTCTTTGTTTGTTTGTTTGAGGGCAGAAATTAAATTTAGAGCAAGGCCTGGGAGTGTACCTTAGTGGTAGAACATTTGCTTAGGATGTATGAGGTCCCAGGTTAGATCTTTAGCACTAGGATTAACTAAAATTTAGAATGAGCAAAATTTAAGTGTTTTGCTTTGTATTCTTTGTAAAACTTAAAAACTCTGAAATTTGTGTTTTTCTTGTCACTTGAAAGCAATTTTTAAAAGAGAAAGGCTGTTTTTTTTTTTTTTGGTACCAGGGAATGAACCCAAGGATACTCAGTCACTGAGCCACATCCTCAGCCCTTTTTTATAATTTTTTAAATTTATTTATTTGGTACTGAGGATTGAATTTAGGGGCACTTGACCACTGAGCCACATCCCCAGCCCTATTTTGTTTTTTATTTAGAGACAGGGTCTTATTGAGTTGCTTAGTGCCTCACTTTTGCTGATCCTGGCTTTGAACTTTCAATCCTCCTGTCTCAGCCTTTGAGTCACTGGGATTACAGGTGTGTGCCACTGCTCCTGGCTTTATGTTTTATTTAGAGACAGAGTGTCACTAAGTTGCTGAGGCTGGCTTTGAACCCATTATCCTCCTGTCTCAGCCTCAGCTTCCTGAGCTGCTGGGATTACAGGCATGTCTGATTCATTTTACTATCTTTACTGTTCCCATTCCCCATCTCTTCCCTTCATTCCCCTTTGTCTAATCCAAAAGTAAACTTCTGTTCTCTTCTGCCCCCCACTCCTTATTGAGTGTTAGCATCTGCATATTAGTGAGAATATTTGGCCTTTGATCTTTTGGGATTGCTCCAGTTCTTTTTTATATTTTATTTAGAGAGAGAGAGAGTCTTGCTAAATTGCTGAGTCTGGCTTTGACTTGTGATCCTCCTGCCTCAGCCTCCCAAGCCACTGAGATTACAAGCACATACCACCATGCCCAGCTATAAGACTGAATAATAGTTCTTATACTGAGAAAAGATAACAAAGCAAGGTGTGGTGATACACACCTATAATCCTAGCTAGGTGGAATAAAAAATTCAAGTCCAAATTTGGCAGTTTGTCTCAAAATACAAAATAGCTTGGTATTACAGGCTTGGCACATGCCTGTAATACCAGCAGCTTGGGAGACTGAGACAGGAGGATCACAAGTCAAGACCAGTGGCCAGCCTCAGCAACTTAGTGAGACCCTGTCTCAAAATAAGGAGTTGGGGAAAAAAAAAAAAAAAAGAGTTGGGAAAGTATCCAATGGGTTAAATCTCCAGTACCTCCTCCTCAAAAAAAAAAAGTAAAAGGAGCTGGATGCATGTCTGTAATCCAAGAGGTTTGGGAGGCTGAAGCAGGAGGATACAATTTAGGCCCTAAGCAACTTGGCGAGATCCCATCTCAAAACAGAAAATAAAAAGGGCTAGGGAAGTAGTTCAGTGGAAAAGCCTCTCTGGATTTGATCCCTAGTACCCAAATACATAACTAAATAAATAGGACTGGGCCTGGTGATACATGCCTGCAATTCCAGTGTCTTGGGAGACTGAGGCATAAGGATTTTAAGTTTGAGACCAGCCACAGCAATTTAGCAGACTCCCATCTCAAAATAAAAAATAAAAAGACCTGGGATGTAGCACCCCTAAATTAATCTCCACAGCCAAAACTAAGTAAATTAATTAGTTAAATTAAAGTGGTTGGGGATATAGCTCAGTAGTAGAATACCCCTGGGTTTAATCACCAGTACCCACACCCTGCATGTGTCATGATTGCACACACACACACAGAGCAGACACTCAAGTCACCAAGTGTTTTATTAAATTATTAGGAGCAGAAATCAATAGCCACTTAATTACATTATTAAGGCTAAGTTTTAACTGTTTTTCTGTGAATATGAGAATTCATACTTGAAAAATACAGGCTTTATTGAATGAGATGTATTTGAATTGTATAAAGTGTTTTATATGTATAGTATACAAGTGAGTTTGTTTTAAATATAAATATAATTGACAATAGCTTATGTTTCTACTCAAGGTGCACTTGTGGAAAGGAATTGTAATTTATCCAGAAAATTATTTAGGAGTTCCCCAATAACATCTAACTTAATGAGATAAACAATTTTATATATAAGTTTAATTTTAGTGCCATAAGTACCTTTTATTCCAAAAGACATTTTTTTTATATTTATTTCTTATTTATTTATTTATTTATTAGTTATCTGCAGACACAACATCTTTGTTTTGTATGTGGTGCTGAGGATCGAACCTGGGCCGCACGCATGCCAGGTGAGCACGCTACCGCTTGAGCCACATCCCCAGACCCTCCAAAAGACATTTTTAAATAAACCTTGACAGGAAGACAAACTCCATGATATTTTGAGATTTTTCTGTTTCATTTTCTTTAATATTAATGCCAAACTGCTATTTTTAGCAAATAAAGGTTACTAATTTAATCTTTTCTTACTCTATAATGTTTACAATGTTTACAAGTTTCAAGGTATGATTTTGTAAACTCATCATCTGGAATTAACTTAAACTTTGTGTCACTAAGCTAACAGTCTTTCAATAAATACAAACTAATAACATTTAACCACTTGGGAATACCTAGTTATTCAGATCTAGATAATAGTTTTCCTTTTTGGGTAATCATATTTCTAATTTTTTTCTGATTTTTTTATTTGTATATCTATCACAGGTTGAACAGCATCAAAACAAAGCTTATCAGAATGATAAATAGTCACGTATTAGATACAGGGCATCATTGGCATAACTAATTTTTTTTTTTTTATAGGGGATTGAACCCAGGGGCACTTAACTACTGAGTCACATTCCCAGCCCTTTTTTATTTTGAGACAGGGCCTTGCTAAGTTGCTGTGGCTGGCTTTGAACTCATGATTCTCCTGCCTCAGCCTGGTGAGCTGCTGGGATTATAGGCATGTGCCACTGTGCCTGTTTGCATAACTGTTATTTTAATGTTACTAAGCCAGGCTGTTTAAGGAACTATCTATACAAAATGATCCAGGCCATAAAACAAAACATTCAAGGAAAATAAACAGTGGCTTCTTAAAATTACATGATGAGAAAAAATTTTTGAGAAATAAACATTTCCCTTTTAAAATAACATGGACTACAATTAGTATTTGATGCTTTCTTCTGGACTTCTAGTGAATATTATTCATAAAATAAAAACCGTACTTTTATAAACACTAAAATTTATCATATAATACAAATAGTTTTTTTCTTAGTCGTTCAGTATAAATAATTAATCAAGAATTTTCTTCATATTCTTCAAAGCCAGTCAGTGCACTTGATTTTAGATTTAGCATTTCTTTTTTTATTAAATTATTTGTTCTAATTTGTTATACATGATGGCAAAATGCAATCCATTTCATATTACACATATAGAGCTCAATTTTTCAAGTCACTGATTGTACACAAAGTATTTTCACACCATTCGTGTCTTCATACATGTACTTAGGGTAATAATGTCTAACTCATTTCACCAATTTAGCATTTATTTTAAGAATTAAACATATACAACACACTTTTGGAGATTATAGGAATATAAAAAATATTTTAAATTCTTGCACTTTTTACTGATAGAGTGTTCTAAGATATTAAAAGATATTTTTCTTTTTAATCAATATAAGAATAATTGCAGAAAAAAGATGAGTGATTTTTGTTACGCAGGCAAATGAATAACCAGGAAGAAGGCAGTCCTATGAACTAAAATACCATTCCGGTACTTTCAAACAATTCCTTTTTGTCTGATGAAGTGTAACCAATCCCCCTATTGCCACAGTGAAGTTCTTTTGGGTGGTTGAGATCTCTCCTTCACTCTCTTCTGGTACACCTAATGAAATCAGCTGCAGAGTTCTATATCTGAAAGACACGAGAAAACACATCATAATAAGATGTATTATCCAGTAAACCAACTTACCCCTGCTAATTTTTTTTTAATAGACAAAAGAGTTCTAAAAGTATGTGTTTTTCAGTGTTTGAAGCACCTTTATATATCCTTACCTTTTGGTATAAATATAGCTCCTGTTTCTTTAGAAGCCTGAATTTAAGATATTAAAGAAATTAGTACAGTACATTATTTTTCACCTAATAATCTTTATTTGCTCAGTTGTCTCCATTAGCAATCTGAACAATTTCTGTTAATATTCTGTGTTTTGCCAGGTGTGATGATATACTCTATAATACCAGTGACTTGGGAGGCGGAGCCAAGAGGATTGCAAGTTTAAGGCCAGTTTGAGCAACTTAACTAGAAGCTGCCAGTCTCAAAAAAACAAAAACCAAAACCAAAAACAAGACTTGGCAAATGTTTTCTCTCATAAGTGGATGCTGATCCATAGTTGGGAAAGGTAGGGAAGAATAAAGGAAGTTTGGATTAATCAGAGGGGAATGAGGAGAGGGGTGTGGCTGTGGGGATGCGAAGGACAGTAGAATAAGACAGTCATTATTATCCTATATACATGTATGATTACACTACTGGTGTATCCTGCACCATATACAGCCGGAGGAAGGAGAAGTTGTGCTCCATTTGTGTTACAGTGTGTCAGAAGGCATCCTACTGTCATGTATTACTAATTAGAACAAATAAAAAAAAAAATAGAAGGAAGACTAGTAGAATAGAAAAAGGGGACCAGGGGGAGGGAGGGGAAGGAAAGGGGAGGTACTGGGGTTTGAAACTGATCAAATTATACTGTTTTATTGTGTACACGTATGGATATATTATAACAAATCCCCCCACCGTTATGTATAATTATAATGTGCCAATAAAAAGAAAAAAAAAAAACAAGGCTTGGAATGAGCTGGGTGTTGATGACACATGCCTGCAATTCCAAGTACTCAAAAGACTGAGGCAGGAGGATGGCAAATTTGAGGCCAGCCTGGGCAACTTAGAGAGACCCAGTCTCAAAAATGAAAATATACAGGGCTAGGGATGTGGCTCAGAACAACAACAAATCTCATAAACTTATCATTGGGAGAATTAAGTTTTTTTTGTGTGTGTGTGTGTGGGGGGTACCGGGGATTGAACTCAGGAGCACTCAACCCCTGAGCCACATGGCCAGCCCTATTTTGTATTTAGAGACAGGATCTCACTGAGTTGCTTAGCACCTTGCTTTTGCTGAGGCTGGCTTTGAACTCAGGATCCTCCTATCTCAGCCTCCTGACAGTTGAGATTACAGGGCTGTGCCACCCTGCTGGCACTGAACAGCATTTTAATTAATGCCAGGTAGTCCCCATGAAGAAAATGGGATTTGAAGAGAACATGGGGGAGGGGAAGAGTCTGGACTTGATAAAGTAAGGGAAGGAATTCATAGAAGTCAAAAGGTCTCTAAATACATGTGGTGAAATGTTAGAAAAACAAAACAAAACGAAAACAAGAGGTCTCCATCATAGAGATAGGAAATCATTGTGGCTTGGCAGGTAATATTAGAAATTAAAACTGAAAATTGTGTTCAGGTATGATAACAGTGAGTCTTAAATGCTAACATAATAAGAAAAAGTTTCATTTTCTTTCTTTTTTTAAGACATGGTCACTATGTTGCCCAAACTGACCTCCCACTTCCGTCTCTCTAGTAGCTGGCACTACAGGTAGGCTCCATTGTGCCTGGCCTTATTTTATTCCTTTTGGGGACATTTATGGAATGTCTACTGTGTTCCAGGCACTTTATTGAATTGCAGATATGAAAATAAATAAAACCCACCCTTCAGGGAATTCACAGTATACAGAGGGCAGGGTAGAGGAGTGGGAGTAGATTACAGTCAGTTAACACATTACTATGCAGTGGATCAAGCACTGTGACAGAAAGTATGCAAATAATGCTTTGAAAGCAAAAAATGAGCATTTAATAAAATTGGTGGGGTATCAAAATCAAGGGAATTATCCTGTCGAATGAATGATAGTAAAGAATAGGCAGAAGTGTAGCTTGAAGAGCAGCAAGAGGTGGAGAATGGATTGTTTTTGAAGTAACAATAATAAGAACTCTACGTACTGTTTATTTAGCACTCATTATGTGCCCACAGAGTCTTATGATAGACAGGTACATAACTAGTTCCGTTCTGCAGATGTAGAAGGGGAAAGAGAGTTGGAGAAGGTCAGTGAATTGCCAGTGTTCACCAGAATGAGCTATGTGGCCAGAGCTTGAATTCAGATGGTGTAAACAGTCTTAGTTTTTGTCCCCTTTGGTAAACAGGAGGGGAAAAGAAAGAGGTGATAGATGAGACTGGAGAGGTATACCTTATCAGTGATGTTTGCCAAATTATGTCAGTTCTCTTTGTTCTGAAAGTCGTGGGGGAAGTTAACAATATTCATCAAGATATAACATGATTGGATTTACAGTTTATTTTATTTATTTATTTTGTGGTACTAGGGGTACTCTACCACTGAGCCACACCCCCAGCCCTATTCATCAGATATTTCTAGAAAGCTTACTATAGTCAGTGGGCACACAGCTGGGACCAGAGGGAAATTTCTGTTCTCATAGAACTTACCTTGTAATGAAGAGAAGCAAATACTAAACCTAATAACAAAGTAAATATATGTTACATGTGCCAGATGACAATGGGTGTTATGGAGAAAGCAAACCAGGGGATGGGGTATCTTAAGTAAGGCAAGATATTGTCATTTCACAAGAAGAGTTATCAGGGAAGGTCTTCCTGAATATGATAATGGAACAGGAAACAGATGCAAGAAAAAGTCTGAGAGAAGCTATAGTAGAGATTTGCATGTATGCTGTAGACATGGGCCCGAGGTGCCTATAGAGCAGCTAAGGTGATTCCAAGGAGGCATTTGGCCACCCGTATGGGTCCTAAAAAGAATAGTCATTTATTCCAGGGAAAAACAAAAGGAAGCATGGTATCATGGAAGCCAAGGAAAATCTGTTCCACCATTTGATCTATAGTGATGTAACAAATCAGAACTGAACTGTAGTCAGAAGGAAGTCTGCAGGAATTTTTTCAGAGTGAAATGCGAGGAAAAGAAAACAGCCTCTATTTCAAGAAATTTGCCTGTGAGAAGATTTTTTATTTTTAATTTTGGTCACTAGAGAGCACTGTGGGGTCACAGATGCTTTATAATCTTCCTTTTCTCCACGAAAAGGAGTTTTTTTTTTTCCTGTTGTGAGTTGGTAGAGGAAGTTAGAAGTGCTATAAGGAAGCTGGGGGTGTAGCTCAGTGTATAACAGTGCTCACCTAGCACGTGGGCCCCTGGATTGTTTGAGCCCTAGCTTTTCAAAACAAACAAAAACAAAAAAGGGAACTAGAGGTGACCAAATGTTTGAAATATAGCTGGTTGAATATCATTTTAAAAAATGAGCAGAAGAGTTCTTCCTAAGAGTCCTGCTAATATTGAAGATGAAGTGTTTCGCTGAAGTGGAAATCTGTGCTGAAGGCAGAGCTGGGCTTCAGGAAGCCCCACAGACAGAATGGGGTGAGAAATGGCAGGACAACAGGATGACTGGAGAAGGAGCTGGGAGGCAGAGCAGAGGTCTGATTAAGGAGGTGAGAATAAGATACAAAATAGAGAACTAGAGACATTTTGAATGGAAAGCAAGTCTGAAAAAAAAGTAATTTAAAATGGTGTATTACCATGTACATTTTCAAAGCCATTACGCCCAGGAAGTGAAAATGAACGATAGGCAAGGGCAAGGAACTTTTACTTCTGACTTTATGTTCTTTTATACTGTTAGAAATAAACTTTTCTAACATGAACATAACATTACAACTGTTATTAAAAAGCCAAATTGAGAGGAGCTGGGGTTGTGGCTTATCAGTGGAGCGCTCGCCTAGCACATGTGAAGCCCTGGGTTCAATCCTCAGCACCACATAAAAATAGATAAAATAACTTTCTTTCAAAGTTTTTTTTTTTTTTTTTTTGATGGTCCTGGGGATTGAACCCAGGGCCCTGTGCATGCAAGGCAAGCACTCTACCAACTGAGCTATAATCCTAGCTAAAAAATAAATATTAAGAAAAAATAGAGCCTGTGCACTAGGGTGCATGCCTGTAATCCCAGAGACTCTGGAGGCTGAGGGAGGAGGATTACAAGTTTGAGGCCAGCCTCGGCAATTTAGCAAGGCCCTAAGTAACTTAATGAGACTGTCTCAAAATTAAAAATAAAAAGAGCTGAGGACATAGCTCAATGATAAAATGTCCCTGGGTTCAATCCTTGGTACCTAAAAAAAAAAAAGGAACTGAATAGAGTATTACTAATAAGGTATGTAGTTATCTAGAGTGCATATTTATAAATAAAGGCATTGATGTAATGAGAAAGTACAGTTGGCAGAGGGAAGATACTCTAATTTTAAGCCCCTATTTTATTTCCCACTCTGTAGTTCCCTCATTAATCTGTGAGTTCCCATTTCCTGACATCCCTTCTCCTATTGCTCTTCTCATTTAGAGCTGAAGGTAATGTTAAAACATTTCTTTGAAAAACAAATATCAAGGAAATGAACTGTAAGCAGCATAGTTCTTCTATTTAATTGACTCAGTTATATAAAGTAGGAAATCATGCTGAGGATCACTGAGAAGGACTCCAGGAGCCTGTAAAAGGAACAGAGTAAAGATAATATGCAGAGCAGGACTGGGGATGTAGCTCAGTCTTGTGTGCATATGGCCCTGGGGTCAATCCCCAGCACCACAAAAGAAAAAAAAAAAAAAAGGGACAATATACAGAGTAAAGATAAGTCATTTGATCAAATGAGCTAAAGGTCTAAATCACTCTAATGGGTTAATCTGGAGAACTTCCAAAGTCAATTGTTTATCTGTCTTTTTACAGTCTCACTTAACCCTAGCTGAATCAACCACGTGTGATTTTATCTAAAAAATGTAGAAAAAGGGAGAAATGAAAGGGTGGTTTTTGCCTTAGAATCCACTACTTAGATCCTATTTGGGTCTTTACCTACTTGTCAGAGTGGCTTTTTTTCAAGACATGGAAAGTGAGACAGTATTCAGGAGAGTGAGAAGTGTGTTGTCAAATCTGAAGGCAGTACTTTTTAGTTCTGACTAAGACATTGAGGAATTACCTTACTATTGATCTTCCACTGACTATTATAATAATCACTAGATTCCAACAGGTGACTTTCATACAGTCTTCACAGAACTGTAGCTGGATCTAGGACTAGCCTAAACACTAAAAATGGATGTGTAACCTGAGCAGTTCTACAAAACTATCAGCTAGCTTTTGTGAAGGATTGTTATTATTGAAAGGTTTATATAGCTTGTATTTAAATTCCCCTTTGGTTTGCAAGTCAAAATTTCCCTTAGGTTTTCAAATTTCACTACTCTTATCTTGTTTACTTGGAGCTCAGTTTTTATGGTAGGTTGTGTGAGGTGAAAGACAAAATAATCTATGGCTAACTAAGGACTTGTGTTTGTATTTTGCAAGGCATCTTTGTATATACAGGAATTCTCTTGCAATTGTGAAATGCCTCCTCTCCTCTTTGTTATTTACAGAGGAGTGCTGGGAAAATCTGGAAGTTCTTCACTCCTTATAAGCCCAGCTTTTCAGTTTCACCTACATAGGTGAAAACACTGCTGGAACGCTGACGCACACCAAAGGATATTTTAACATAGTAATCCTTTTAAAGCATATTTCTGTCACTGTTAATTGCCTTCTTCTTAGCAACCCCCACTGTATTCTTCTGGATTCTTCCACCCAACCTACTTTACATTTTTCGATAGCAAAGAGTAATTTGTTGCAGATAAGGCATAGATATCTTGGCTTTTTGTCTCAGTCCTCTGATAAATGCTTATCACTTCATTTAATTTCCTACTACAAGGCTTCCACTGGGTATGAAAAGCACATATTCTTTGCACTGAATGAGCAAAGCCATAAAAGCTAGAGTTTACAGACCAGTTGAAAAAGCTAATTTAGCAAATGCCTGTGTATGTTAACCAGCTGTGGGATATTTCTATGTATTTTCTTTAGGAAGACATATTTTAAATGAACCAAAGAGCTTAAAATAATTACAATAGAATGTCAAGTTAGTTTTTAGTGTGAAATGACTTAAACTTGGGCACTGTTTGAAAACTGATGCCAGTAGTATTACTGAAGTGAGGTGGTAAAATCATTGGCTTTTTAGTGATTATAAAATAAGAAGGAGGAGCAAAGTTCTATTCTAAATTTGGTCTTAAAGATGCAGTCATCAAGACCAGTACTGTTAGTGAGGCTGGAAAGCTGCCATGCCATTAATATTAAATTGATTTATATGTGAAATTTGGAAGTGTTGAGGCTGGAAATTTGGAAGTGCTGGTATTGTTATAGTGGTGTTCGGTAAATACTAGAGGTCTAAATGGAAAATGTGTTTTTCAATGTTTTTAAAAACCCTGAAAAAAAAAACCCTGTTTATAATTAAATTCTCCTGATGTCTGATTTTTTAATTATGAAAATTTTCAACCACATAGAGAGTATTGACCACAAGAGTATTGACTATCACTTAGGTTCAACAATATCAGGATTTTTTTTTTTTACTCTAGTCTATCTTCTTCTTTAACTATAAAAGTAATTCCCAAACATCATATCAATTCCCTCTTTCATTCATTAGTACACATTCCTGAAACTTTTATGTCATCATAAGCTATAATTACATATTACAAAATACAAAAATGCATTTTTTGGAATAGGTAACTAAATGCAGTAAAACAATTTTCTATCATAAATACCTTAGGGGAACGGGACTCGGGAATGGAGAGGCATACATCTCCTCTGAAGACAGTTATGTCTGTGCAGTTTTCTTCTCAGGGCCAAATTAGCTAAAGGAAGGAAAAAGAAAGATTAGGAGCCTTTTTTAAAAAAATCAATTTGTATAATCTGGAGAATATAAAATTATATTTGCAGTCAAACTGTTCTGTGTTTATTTGCCATTTGTTCATAGATGATTGTAGCATAAATAATCTGATGCATATACACAAAGTAGATTCCTAACAGTGTTAATAGCAAGATCTTAATAGTAATATCCTCCTCCTTTCATGTAATTTCTTCCTAAATATTCTTTTATATAGGAACTTAGTCATAGAACATTGCCCAGTGTTTGGTATTTTGGAAAAGAAGAAATGGTTTGAATAGCAGTTGCTGTTTTCTGGGTTGCTGACTTGGACTGTTTTTCTTATGTAAAAGGACAGCCTGGGACATCATTTGAAAATAACCTCATGCCAATCAAACTTCTAATTAACTAAAAGTCTGAGTTTTTAACAAGTTATGTACCATTTCTGTTCTACTGAAGAAGTACATTATCAAGTAAATATAACATTTGGATTATCACCTTTCTATTAAAGCTTGGGTTTGCAGTTTTTGTGTGTCAGAAAACTTTAACTTTCTAAATTTTTTACCTACTGGTACTTTAAAATCTAAGTCATTTGGCTTTGAAGTAAAAATACATTTAAATAATTTTGTCTACTAAATTCCTGTTGGTTAAATATAACACATTCTTGAAAAACATGTCAGGTAAATTTAATATTATATGTCTTGATCATGCACATTTTTGGCTCTATAAACACAATACTACAAACTGTGCTTTCTTTGTTTTAGGTGATCTACCTATTATATAACTAGAAATTGCAACTATTGACTCATTTTATGATTTCATCTACATTTTGCCATGCTATGATTTTTACATGTTGTACACTCAGTTAACATTGCTCTCCTCTGCCAGCTACATGCTCTTTGAATGAAACAGCTCTGAATTTTGCATTCTAATTAAAAGTTGTTGATTTATTAAACTCTTTAATGAATAAAGATTTGCATTTCTTTCTATTTGTAAGAACAACCCATCTTCAATAGCTTAGATTTAGATTTTCTTTGCATTTAGAAAAATAGTGGTAAAATATTTAGCAATACTTTAACATACAATTGCTTTTTCATATATTCAGATCTATCCTGTCACCAGCAGGATCACATTACTTCAGAAATCCTACACATTTACGCCCAATATTATTGCAAACACGCCTAAGCAACTCTCTCAACATAAACACAGTTGTACTCAGAACTAGAAACATAAACAAGCATAAAAACAAGTTACTCTCTACAAATGTATGAAAGTCCTACCTGGTCTCTGTCCGTTGATTAGGAGAAGACTCATCACAAAAATTAAAAACACACACAAAAATTGTTGAAATCTCATTTTCCTGCCACAGGCAAGTGCAGTAATAGCTCTTAAAGTAAACCAAACAATCTGTAAATAGTCTGTGCAATATCTGTGTGGCTCTCCTCACATTCTAATGACAAACCTCAGAGGACTGCCAGCTGCATTTTCCAGAAAGGTTAATGATCACATCAGACAAGGTTACTGGTGCGCTGTGCTGTGGTCAGAGGCTCCCTCAGCCTCAAACCCCTCCTCCACTCATCTCCTCCTCCCTGCCCCCTCCCCAGTCACTCCCCTTTATTTCCATAAGCAAATATTGGTGAAATAGACCATTCAAGCATGCAGTAACTTCAGTGGGAAGTCTACTCTGGAAGCTCTGCGGAGAGTGACTTAAAATCAGCCTGGATATGGAGAAATATGTAAAACAAGGCATGACACTGCCTCCTCCCCTCACCATTTGCATCTGTTTAAACTTTGCATTGCCCATATTGGTCCCACATGCAGAAACCAATGGAAATGACAGGAAGTCTCTCTTTTGTCCTTTTCAGAAGGAATTCTGAAGCTCAAACTTAAGACTCCCAAATGCTTTGTGGGAACATGTGCTGAACTGCTTTATCTTTAACAAACCTACTACAAAGGGGTGACTATTTATACTAAATCTCCAAAGTGCTGAATTCATATGGGTTTGTATCATTAAAGAGTTCTGGGGTTTAGAATATTCTGAAAACTTCAAAGTGTTTATATTTTTATTTTTCTACAGTGCAATTTAAAAAGTAACGGGAATTATTTTCATCTGCAAATGTCCAAGATTTTAAAAAAGGAAATTTGGTCAAGCCACAAGCTCATAAAATCTGTGTTCTGTTATAAATTTATATGTGGTGGAAGACCAGGCTAACATATCACGTCACAGGAATTAGAGATGTAGAACTTTCTAGTTCATTTCCCAGTGAATTCAGAAGAAAGAAAAGCAGATTAGACTTGTCTTTTGTGTACATGCACCAAGACCTCTTTTTAAGAATTTCCTTATATGTAATATATAGCTGTTATAGATGGAAATTACTGTACTTATTATAAATTAAACCAAAAGGATGGTGTTGCTACACTCTGAAATACAAATAGATCCAAAACACTGAATCTAAAGCATATGTAACTTGTAATTAACTGCCAAGAATTTTGTTGTGTTTGTTTTCTTTAGATTCAGGTAGTTGGTACACAAGCTTGGGCTTCCTAAGTTTTTAAATTAATGCAATTTGTCTTGATTTTACAAATTATAAAAAAATTTCCTATCTGCCTAGTTATCCATGCAGTTATAACAAGCAAGAGCATAAAAAAATTCTTTAAAAATCACTGTCTTAAAGTCTTGAGAATTTTTGCTTGTTTGAGGACTAGGAACAGTGTTAAAGAATACTACTTTGCTATATTTGTACACTCACCATAAAATCAATTGAATACAAGAATTAGAACTCATGATTCAGAAGGGCTTTATGAATGGCAAAGAATTGAATGTTAATTCAAGCAAACCAATAGAAGACATAGATTTTAGCAATCTATATGTCAGGTCAAGTTTAACTTTATTCAAAGGTATAGTAGCTAGTCTTTTTTATAAATAAGACAATAACTTACCACCAACAACAAATATTGATTAATTTTTTAAAATTTTGTTACCAGGTTATCTGTAATGAATTCCTAGAATATGGCTAATATATATATAAGTGCTATAGAAGTTATAATTATATCACATCTCTACCACTCGAGATAAAAGAACTTGCGCCAGGCGAAGTGGCGCATGCCTGAGGCAGGAGGATTGAAGGTTCAAAGCCAGCCTCAACAATTTAGGGAGGCCCTCAGCAACTTACCAAGACCTTGCCACAAAATAAAGAATAAAAAAGAGCTGGGGATGTGGCTCAATGGTTAAGCACCCCCGGGTTCTATCCCTGTACCAAACAAAACAAAACAAAAACAGTGTTTTAGTTATGTAACCACACAGAACATTAATTTCTTCATTTTTAAAAACTGTGGTAAAATACTTGGTTCTGATCTTTTCTCTTCCTTCTTTCTTTCCTTCCTTCCTTTGGATTGAACCCAGAGGTGCTTTACCATTGAGCTACAGCACCAGACTTTTTATTTTTCGAGTGTCTTGCTGAGTTGCTGATGGTGTTCCTTACTTGCCCAGGCTGACCTCAAACTTGGGATCCTTTTCCCTCAGCCTCCTGAGTTGCTGGAATTACAGGTGTGTGCCATGCACCAGGCAAAACACTCAGTTTTCTACTGAAAGAGTTTTACCCTGGATTCGATCCCCATTACTAAAACCAATCTTTTTAAAGGCTGGCTTATTAATAGCTTAAAATTCTCTTCAAGACATGTTATTGAATAAAAGATGGTGCATGAAAAACAAAACAAAAAAAGAGTTATAAAGGTTTAATGAGCTAATATATTAAACTTATGAAATTTTAAATATTATCATATATTTTAAATTATTTGTTCAAAAAAGAAGATGATGGGGGCTGGGGATAGCTCAGTTGGTAGAGTGCTTGCCTCGAACGTACAAGGCCCTGGGTTCGATCCCCAACACCACAAAAAACAAAACAAGAAGATGATGACATTTAAGTGGTTACTTTTTAAAGTGTAGTAGTAAAATGATTATAGAGTTGATGGACAAACTGAAATGACAAACATTGAGGGACAATGGTAAGTCATCCAGTGTTTCTGTGGAATGTGAGTCAACAATAGTGGTAAATCATTCATCTTACTTAGCATTGAATAACCAGGTGTGGAGAAATCTTGGCAGGAAAGTGTTAAGTCAGAGCAATGCAGCTGGCTCTGCAAATGATACGTTTAGCCTGTAAATATATGACAACGATGACTCTTTTTGGAACAGTAACCTCAACTTCCACCTTTCTACCATGTGTCAACCTGCACTGAATGAACCCAATATTGCCCTCTGGGCCAGGTATCATGCTAAGTGTGTTTCATATATCATATAATCAATCCAAAACATTTAGAAGCAATATTCACCTATTCATCAGATGAGAAAACTGACAGGAAAGAGTAATAGATAGATTCAAATTCCATGACCTGAGCTCTCAACTATTATCTTTTGTTATAAGGTCTAAGCTTTAGTTCCTTTCTAAAAGTAGTCTATTGAAGCTATTATAAAAATAGAGATAAAAGCCAAGCATGTGGTACATGTCTGTAATCTCCTTGGTAACTCAGGAGGCTGAGGCAGGAGGATCACAAGTTCAAAGCCAGCCTCAGCAATTTAGTGAGACCCTATCTCAAAATTAAAAGTAAAAAGGACTGAAGATATAGCTGTATAGTAAAGTACCCTTGGGTTCAATCCCTAGTACCAAGAAAAAAAGAATAAAAGAAAAGGCAAAATAAAGATATTAACAACATATTTCTTATGTTAGGTTGAATAGTGTCCCTTCAAACCTTAAAAATTTATTTCAATGTAGAATTTAAAAACTTAAAAATGTGCTGGGTGCAGTGACACAAGCCTGTAATCCTAGCGGCTGGAGAGGCTGAGGCAGGAGGATCATGAATTCAAAGCCAGCCTCAGCAATGGCGAGGTGCTAAGCAACTCAGTGGGACCCTGTCTCTAAATAAAATACAAAATAGGTCTGGGAATGTGACTCAGTAGTCAAATGCCCCTGAGTTCAATCCCTGGTACCAAACAAACAAACAAACAAACAAAAACCTTAAAAATGTGACCCCATTTGGAAATAGAGTCTTTGCAGTTGTAATTAGTCAAAATTGAGCTGGAGTAGGTTGGATTCTAAATCCAGTACGACAGGTGTCCTTAGAAAAAGATGAGACATGCAGGACTACACAGCACGATTGCCAGGTGACACAGGTAGAAATTAGAGTTATGCTGCTACAAACAAAGGAACAAAAGCCAACGATTGCCAACAACTACCAGAGGCACAGAACAGATTCATTCACAGACTTCTGAGTCAATGGAAGGAATCAGTCCTACTGACACCTTGATTTTAGACCTCTGGCCTCTTGAACTATGAAAGAATAATTACTGTGAAGCCACCCAGTTTGTGATATTTTGTTATAGCAGCCCTAGGAAACCTATACAATTCTATAATACATACATTCTGTAAATGTGTGTATATATATGTAGCCCTGTAGCCCACGTCCTGTGGGGGCTTTGGAACGAGGGTCACTTGGGCTGGCACGAAGGAATCACGCAGACACAGAAAATACCTTTTACTTGTGGCATTTCAGGATGGCTTCTCCACCTCCAACTGTAAGCTCCCACAAGGGGGGACAATAGAAAAACACAGGAGGCTGGCAAGAGAGAGTGAGCACACCCTGAACCCTGGTTTTGATTGAAGAGATCCATTCGATAGAACATTCCATCCAAAAAAAAGGTATAGGAACAAGAAGGCAGCCCACTCCCATTGGGTAACGCCCACTCCCTTCGGAGGGAGGGGAGATCCACCTGTTTCTACTCAGGGGAAACCAGTCTCCACACCTCCACCACTCAAGGCTAAGGTGCTCCACTCTTTTACGGCTGCTACACACACACACACACACACACACACACACACACACACACACACACGAAATTTAATAAAACATACTTATTTTACAGTGGTATACTGTCTATCAGGTATTTAACAAAGTTAAGTTATTTACACATCGTAATCTTATAAGCTTTATATGCACTTTACAAATGAGAGAACTCAGAAAATTAAGTGACTTGCCCCAAATTAAATATTTAATATCAAAGTTAATATGAAGCCTGTTCAGTCCTGGGCCTCTTATCCCTTTGATTTTGATCTTGTGCTCTCCTTTGTCCTAGGAGATCTTTCCCTAGCTCTCATCTTCTTTCCCACTTGAGTGTTTGATCTTTCTTCATTGCACCCTACAGAAGTACTCTGTTCAACTTAAAATTCTCTCTCTGCTCATTTGTATTCAGCCTCCGTTTGCCAGATGTCTGAAATAAGAGTCCACCCTGATTGTTCTACTCCCTCACCACCTTTTCATAGGACATCCCCTTGATCTTGACTAGTTTTCACCACTTCACTGAAGCTGGTGTGTCTCAAATCGGATCTTTAAACTTTTTCTTTCCCCCCAGTGCTGGGATTCAAATCCAGGGCCTGTGTCTCTTAGGCAATTACTGGACCAGTGTGCTATGCCCCCAGGCCAAAATCACTAAGTTTTCAAATACAATCTTTTCTATGAACATTTCACTTTATCCAAATTAAACTACTCTTTGCTCTCATTTTTCCTCTGTTCTTGTTTGG